GGCCTTTGCTACACAACAAACATAATAACTGTTCGATGGCACAAACTTTCTGCAGCCAAATACGGATAAGACTGAGGTAGTTGTCATTGGCCGCTGTGTATGTAGCGCACTCACAAACACACCTGAGCTCCTGATCTATAAAACTGGACCAATAATTTAAAATCCTCACAGTCATTTCTGATTAAGTAAACATGAACAAATCTAGTAATCTGCTTTCATCTTCTCTAGATTAGATCACTGTAATGGCTGAGTGCATAGCAAAGTCAGCGGCCCCATGTGAGGGGGAAGGTTTGAAGGTATAGTGTCACGGCCAGGAGGGTCACCTGAACGCTGATCAGCGGTTTCTATCTTTCTCTCTCTGCTCCTTTCTGTCACCGGGGCAGAACTCACTGTGGGCTCACGCCCTCGGCCCTTGGAGAAAGGAAACACCTGAGCCTCATCAAGGTGATCAGCATATAAGCCAGAAGATGACTGCTGTTCTTTGCTGGATCGTTGTCTGCTACGCGTTAGTGAACGTCAAGCCACAGCAAGTTAAGTGGAGTGTTTCTTTGTACTTTGTATTTACCAACGTCTCCCTGTCTACAGACTTCCTGGATTCTTCCCAGTGTCATTCCCGAGTGGCGAGTGTTGGAGAGAGAGCCTGCCGTCATGTGTGTGTGGATTGTTTGGATTGCGCGTGCCTCCCCCTGGATTTCCCTGGAGCCTCGTCCCCACCCCGTTGTACATAACACTTCCCCTGCACCTTCTGTACCTGGTGGACTTGTAAATAAAACTTGCTTGCGTGCAAATGATCCTGGAGTTCTGCGATTGAGTCCTCCACGTCAAAATCGTAAAATACTGTATAGGCTCATGTGATATGTTGAGGAATTTTCTTTGTGAGTTTGGTTAAGGTATAAAAGGATCAGGGCGGTTGTCCATCAGGGAAAGAAACCTTCTCTTCCCTCAGCCTGATTTGTATAAATCCTTTTTCTGTCACCTCTCTTCGTTCGTCTCTCCTCCGACGCCTTTCACTTTCTCGCTTAAATAAATAAATAAAAGCTGCACAGAAAAGGAACTGATGTGTTTCTGTAACTCATTATTCACATGCTTTACAACAACAACGTTCACACAAACTACAGTGCAAGAAAATCATATAGAAATACAACAGTTCACAGATTACACAACTCCAACTTTGTGTTTCATCACACCTAGTGTTGTGTGACGTTTCATATCGACACTGCTCTTGATAAGGAAACCACACAAAACGGCGCCATCTTAAATCACTCGAAATGTGTCACATGACAACCATCTTACAGGTGGTTTAAGATGGCGCCGTCTTAAACCACCTGTGTTTGTCTTTTTTTCCTCTTTATAAGGGAACAAAAACAACAACAAGTGTAAACAAATCAACTTAGTGGCTGGAACATGACAGAAAATATAAAATAATAAAATAATAAAAAATAAAATAATAATATATAATATATAAAATAAAATATAATAAATAAAATAATTAAATAATTAATAAAATTAAAATATAATGAATAAAATATAATAAATATAAATAAATATAATAAATAAAATAATTTAATAATTTAATAATTAAAAATAATAAAATATAATATATAAAAAAATATAAAATAATAAAAAATATAAAAAATATAAATAAACTAATGAATAATTTAAAACATGACTATGTAAGAATTATCACTGATTTGCATGAAATTGTTCAAAAGCTGTTTGGCTGCTTTTTAATTTTCCAGTTCTTTGATTGTGGTGCTGTATGGTTGTTAATCTCTCTGTCTCGATATGAACTTTTGTCAGGAGCAGCAGTGGTTTTCCGTGTTTCATTGTCCGATGAAGAGAAACGCCGCACAACAAACAACAACACTGCAATTCTGCAGTGCTTGAAACCTTTTTTTTTTTTAACCTTTTTTATTTTTATATTAACCTTAAAATTGGGTTTCTTTTTCCCGGTTGTGAGCTGTAAGTCTCCGTCCCTGAGAATATCAGATTCAGATCCGTCTTAAAAACATATTGTTTATAAACAGACATTTTCTGTGTCTCCCCTTTGCTGTTTTTGTGTTATAAGCATTTAAATGCAATGTAATAAATTTACACCTGCTCATTACCGTGTCCACGTTTAACGAATAACGTGGACACAGTTAACGTCACCCGTGTCCACGTTGTGGTAGCGTACGACAAACTCAAATCAGCAACAGAATTGAGGTTTATGATTTTTTTTCACATAATTGTTAATATGCATGATGGTGTTCATATCTGCTCTATGACCATTTGAATTGCTTTTAATTTTATTCTATATTTTAAAACCTTTGACAGCCGGTGTGATATTAAAACCGAACGTTGAACCCTCGATTGTAATATAAAATGTATATCAACATAATAATTTAATCAATTTAAATTAATCAATTTACCTAAGTGACCTTTTTTCTACATGATGTTTTTCCGTTATCACTGCTTAGATGTTTGAGTTTATGTGTGGTTGCTTCTCTGTTTTGTGAAATGTTTTGCTTTTGAACAACGATGTCGTTAATAATGATATTATTAATAATATTGTTAACATCATCAACAACAGCAATAATAATAATAGTAATGATAATAATAATAAAAACAATTTGTTTTAAAAAGGTAGCCCTAGATGTATACTGTTACGACCACATGTCATCATCACTGGTTAAACACGCAAAGTGCTCAGTTTACATAAGCCTGAACATTTGCTAAGTTTACCTTTATGGACGGACGCCTGCAGTACTCCAACAAACAGCAGAGCCCAGAGCAGTCCAATACGAAGAAAATTCATCATACTTTCTCTGCTTCGATAAACCATCAAAGATCTGTTTATCACGGAGAGTGACAATCCATGTTGTCCGTAAAGCCAAAATTGTCCTTAATGTGGAACCTTACAAACCTCACAAACCACTGTTTACAAACTAAACGGGCCTCGTGTGATATATGTAGCCTAGATCAGGAGCAATTGGATTGGCCCATTGTTTTCATGGGACTGCCCATCTGTGTTGTCATAGAGTGTGAATATGCATAAACCGGTCGGTCGAGTTTGTCCTGTTGTTCCTCTGTAAGCAGCCACGGAGAAGAGGGAAGTTGAAGTAAAGTAACACAGAGCAGTGAAGAGAAACTGAGTCTTAGAAACAATGAAGCGTCCACTGCAGCTGCTGCCTCGGCTTTTCCTAAATATTGATCTATGAAGTTGTTGTTTTGTTATTTGCTGATTGTCTTTAGATGACATAGTAGGTCAGTAGCTACTACCTGTGACTGTCAGGTCCCAGCTAAATTCACAGCAGAGCTCAGTTGAAGGTTCAACGTTCAGATTTACCAGCTTTAACCAGGCATCCCTGTTTGCCTCACATTAGCTGTGAAGCTCGCACTGTGAACTAAGCAGGTCAAAATAAAAGGAAAACAGCGACAATAAAAACAATTTAAACACGACCTCACCATTACTCTCCTTCCATCGTCCGTGGAGGGACGCAGTTGTTCCACTGTCTCCTTTAGCTCCATTTAAAGGTCTTCAGTATGTTTCAAATATATAATCTCCAAATCTAAAGGTATGAAAAAGCACTGAGGGTGCTTATTGAGCCACTGCGGAAAGTCCCCAAAGTGAAAGCAATAGCTGTGCTACAGCTTATATGTTCTGGAGGAGTGGTTCCGGCTGTCACACCCAGGCTTCCTGAAACGAAGCGTCTAAGCAGAGCACATAAAACAACAACCACAGGTGTAGATCATGAGCTCAGTATGACAGATTTGTTGAAATAAGTCTTTAAAATAAAACCAAGTTTTCCTTTTCTATGAGCATAAAACAAAATATTAACATCACACTGAGGTCACTGAGTGAGTTTCATTTTGAATGTTTTACAAAGCAAGGACTGAGAAAGTCCCGCCCAGCCATCAGTTTGTTGATCAGCGGCAACAACAGTTATTCTGTGATATTAACGCTTAAATTAAATGCAGAGAAAAGGCTCGAACTTTGGACGAAGGTCAAAGGTCTGTTTAAAACCCTCACACTGTATAAACAGGACACGGTGGGTTTAAAAACACACGGTGTGGAGAGTAAGGAGAAACACGCAAACATTTGTTCATAGTCCTGATACGCACACAGTAAACACATCTGTACTTGACTGGAATGCAGTTCAGCTGCTGTGTGAAGAGAATGATCACGATCAGTGTTTCATGGAATAGACTGGTTAGAGCTTCACTTCCATTCAACCTACATCAGATCTCTATGTATACGTCCTCCCTGTCTTTGTACAAACACATTCACATATTTTTGCATATAATCTGGAGTCTTCAGTCTTCATAATGACACAGCTGCCCTGCGAGCAGACTCATATTGAAACTGCTGTCACTTTGTTTCTGAATGACATGACAAAATGCTGCAATCCACATAGGCATAAAATACAGTATTTGTCTGATAAAATTGTGTACTCTCTCCTTTGTGTGATGGCTCTGCACAGTCAGAGCAAATAAACCAAAGAAGTTTAACTGAGGCTGTTTCAGATTGAGGGGATTTGTGATTGTAAGTTATCTCTAGCTGTGTTTTGAAGAGGAGAGATGTTTATTTATGGACTTCTACTATTTATGTGAGAAACGCTTTTCAATCATATTTAATAAAAACAGAGTGGTGAATCAGAGGAGGCGCATCTCTCAGCATTCATCAGCACTGCTACACACACACAGACACACACAGTATGTCCTGTCTCATCATGTCTGGAATGCAGTTCAACCATTTCTTAGAAAACCATGAGAGTTTATGATGTTTCATAACAACACATGTTGGCACTGACTGATTTGTAGTTTGAGTGTCCTGTTTTATTCTCAGTCATTACAAACATTTTAAACAAAGTTGCTGATAACAAGCAGCTCAACTAGTTCTGAGTTTTCAGCATGATGCTGTGTACTGCATAACAAATTAAAGAATAACATTTTATAAAAAATAATGTTTATTAAAACAAAAAATAATTACTTCTTTTTTGTAAATAAACAGGTATTTGTATGGTTCTTATGCACAGATTTTCGTTTATTTATTTATTTCAGGTTCAAAATGTATAAAATGATATTATTGACTGACAGTACATCCCATGCAGATTTAGTTCCTTAAAGAAAAGCAAACAAATAATTTCAACACACTGTAATAACCAAACATGTGTTTGGATAAACATGTGTTTGGTTATTGGCAGCAAGGACTGGGTTGATTATAATGTAGAGGACAGAGTGTGTAAAGTAACACAGTTATAAAGATAAATGGAACGACTTGTTCTGCAAGTATTTTAAATGTAACCCCTTCATAACTCATATTGACTGCAGGCTATTTACCAATACAAGCAAATACATTAGCCATAAAAACACAGATAAACACTGGAAGTGACTTATTGGCTAACACAGAAACCTGGAACACATCATTATTGTGTTATTGAACACAAACAGGAATCCCAGCCATATACAACACTGAACACAAAAATGCAAAAATAAAGGATATTACTGAAAATCTTCTTTAATTGCCAATGCAAAGCATGTATGTGCAGCTGTGTGTGCCTCTTGGACCACATGCAGAGTAACATTACTTTCAGCTGTAGCTGTAGCTCTGTATAGTCTAGTTCTGACACACAATGCCATGGTTGTGCTCTCAGATAAATTCTGGTGCATGTGACCATCAAAATCTACCTCGAACAGCACTTTATATTTTATGCCACTTTTAGCAAAATCTTATTTCTTTTAATTACATATTTTAGGCAAGTTTTTAATAAATGCTACATTTTTTTATTATCTTATTCAATACATTTTTAACCCTTTTCAAGAAATATATGAACTAAAATATACATGAATCTAACACAGAAACATAAAAACCTTTATTCAAAGGAGCTTGTGAACTGAGAACCTTCACAGACAAAAACCTTTATTGAACTGTCTCAGGGACAGTTACGGGTTGGCTTGATGAGCCACTGAACACCAGGAGTGAGGAGCAGATGTGGTAAGAAGACAGTTTGACCTTATGACAAAATCAGGTTTAAAACCCTTTTGTCCCCTATAACTTTGACACCATTTTTAGCTTTTTAACAGTCACTTAATGTATCTGGCAATCTTCTTTAACACCTGAGCACAGAAAGAGGGCGATGTAAGAGTCATTCCATCTTTTTTTTTTTTTTTTTTTAATAGTCACTCTGTAAGTGTGCACGTTGCCCTAGAGAAGTCATTTAATTCAGGTTAAGTTTAAAATACACTGAGAGGCAGTTATCAGGGTTAGGTTTGGGTTAGAGGCGTTTAAGGTCAGGGTCTTTAATCGGACTACCCAGTGCGTGTAGACACAACAACCAGTTGCATGAGACAAGCTATTACATCTGTACTTGTGAAGTTGTTAAACCTCTTAGTACATTTTAAACACAACCTATATTATAAAACTACTCCAAGACAGTTGGCCTTTGGGGGGGGGGGGGGGGAGGGGGGAATGAAAACTTGGGTTCATTATTTTAATAGATAATATTCTGAGATATTCATGCCTCAAAAATTGAAAGGTGGACAGAACATTTTTCAAATAGTTCTATTTGATATATGAAGGTAAAATCTCACAGAAATCACTATATACATGTATATACATTGTCACGCCTTGAAACACACAATTTTGAGCCAAATATGATATGGTTCAGCAGAAGTTCCACAATGATTTGAGGTACAGTGACCCATAACATAAGACTCTGATGTGAACCCTTTTTTTGTTTTACCTTTTCATAATGTGTTTCCATGCAGAGGAAGATGGTGTAGGCCGTTAGGCTAGCCAGACAGCCCTCCAGGTAGGACTTCCCCCCGAGTTTTTCTGCTTCTGCATACAGGTTGTTTAGCGTCTGAATGGTCTCCTCAAACTGCTGCTCATCGATCTGAAACCACAGGAGCAGTTTTAAAAACATAAACTTAAAGCAGTCAGGAAACAACCATGGCATGGAGGTTAACTCTGTACATACCCTTGACTCAAGCTCTGAAGGGAACTTGGTCTGGAACTTGCATATGGTGCCTGAGCTGTAGTCTCTTTGGATGAACACCTTGGATGAACACAGCTGGTTGCTGGAGGTCCTGTAAGCTGTGGGTCTACACAAAGAATTTACTCTTATGCATATTAATTTAAGACAAATGTACAAAAGATAAAAGAATATAAACATCTTTATTAAAACAATCACAGCAAAACATAAAAAGTCTGTACACCATCACCCCGCAAACATACAAACATACAGAACATTATAGCTTGATTCATGATACATTACATTGTGACACACAACTCTAATCTTACATATCATTTGATGCTCAGTTAAACTGTCAAATGCAAAAACACATGATTGTGGGATTTTTATAAAATATCTACATACATCATATAAATGCTGTCACTTTTAATTCAGTATTTGTCAGAAGGGTTTGTTGGGCAAAGGTAGCAATGCACTGACAAACAAACAAACCACTGACTAACAAAGATGTGTAAGACTGAAATAACAATGCACAACAAACCACTGATTTTGGCTTATTCAGGTAACTTCTGGGTTTTCTGTACTACACAGGTAGTTTGCTTCTTACTGGGGTAAATCGCCATGGTAACATATGCTGTGCGAAATCAGCATCACAGGTGAGAGTAGGAGGGTCTAAATTTAAATTTTTAAGCAGAACTTTACTCCCTGATCTTCATTTTCTTTTTGCAGCAAACAATTTTACACCTTTTTATTGTTCTTAACAATCAAAAACCGGACACCTGCACTGTACTTGCTGGCTTCATATCAAATTTCAATTTCAATTTTGTTGTTATATTTAAAATGCATCTGAAAGGATAAAAACTAAAACTTCCAGGAGGAGATTATGTTCTTGATGTCAGCTTCAAATGGTCTGGAAGCTCCACGTTTCCACTGATTCTTTTATTTACAGCAGCTTGTTAAGCCACACATTAGCCATGACAGTCCTGGTTTGGTGACTCTACAAATAAGAATCAAGTATAATAACATGTATACATTTTATAAATCACCAAATGAATACACACACACTCCCATGACCGCGCACAGTTTGTGCTCCATTCACTGGATTTAGTAAAGTCAGGCTTAACCTGATCCTGACAGTTTTAGATTTTATTCTTTCAGCTGTTTAAGTGTTTGAGAGTAAAGATTAAATAGAAAAACAGACATTAGGCTTAGTCTATGTACAAGTTTGATATGAGGTCAAGTACAGGAGTCCTGTTTTAGAATAAGATATTGATGATTTTATAATAATGAAATTGTAAAATTGTTTTGCTGCCAACAGCTACTAACTTGCATCTAAGTATTTATATTCAATACTGAAAGTCAACAGGGAAACACAAAGACATCAGACACTTATTGAAACTCTTCAGACCTTCTTACTCTCGCCTTCCGTTTGACAAAGTATCAGGGCAACATTAAGAAAACATATTTTTAAATTGTTCATTTTGAGAATATAATTAAAGTGTAGAGATTACAGTTGTTCTTTCAAGTTAAACTTCTGCCAGGCTCCTATTCCTTCTGTATGTTCTGTTGACACTGTTCAGCAGTGTTTTGATTGTACATACATCCTCTTCAGTGCACGAGGGTGTAACCATTGGTATCCTTCTGAAGGACATTCCACTTACTGATCTACACACAGCATTTTGTGGAGGCTACAGCAGCTGTGGCAGTTTTTTGACTTGAAATGACAGCTTTAATCTTTGCATACAAACTTTATTCTGAAAATGAACAATAATTTGTTTTTCTTAATGTGGCCCTGATACTTTGTCGTACTCCTCAGAGATCTGAGAGATCTTCCTGGAATGGTGTCGCCACTTTCCAGAGAACTAATTGGTTAGTAGGAGATTTCATAGCTGCTGAACTGCTCAGTCTAAACTGTAGTGGGTGCCAGCTTGTCCTGGTTCAGAGGGCATTAACAGGTTTTCACAATGCAATTCTCACTCACTCCATTTGCCTCATTAGCTTATCTGAGTTTTTTTTTGGTTTCGTTCTGGTTTTTTTGGTTTTGTTTTGTTTTGTTTTTTTTTTTTTTTTGGGGGGGGGGGGGGGGGGGGGGGTACTTCCTGGAAGTAAAAATCTTTTGCAAAATCATACTTTGGACTGGGTGCCAAAGCATGATCTTTAATGTCAAAACCGTCACCCAAATTTACATTAGATTTCAGGGTTTTTCATATGTTAAATGGATCCTAGAGGGTCCTATAACTTATACTGTATAATTATTTAATAAATCACTCATATTAACACTCTAAACTACTAAGATTTGTTTTTGTAATCTAACAGCAGGCATGCATAGAAAGCCTTGAACAAAATAAAATAAAACAATGTGCAAGGTGTGCAGTGCTATCCACAGCAGCCTTGTTGATATTTTCTGATCACTAACACAGAAATGTTTCATCTGTGATTAAAAATTGAAAAAGCGAGATTCTGCATGCAGTCCTAATAAAATTGCAGCTTTTCAAACACATTCACATCTTTATGGAACAGCAGAACCTCCAATCATTCAGGAGTACGCAGACCTCAGGCATTTTATATCAGCTGTTTAACTTTTGCTGTTAGCTACATATAATTTCTATGCTGTTTTCTGTGGATACGTATGCAAATAACAGTAATTATTATAAGGAAAGCAAAAACTAAAATAATTATGACAGGAAGAAATTTATCCCTGTCTCTTCCATCCTTGTCTCCTCCATCCTTGGTGTCTTCATCTGTGAAACCTGCAGAGTAAAAACAGGTGTGAGGAATCTAACCACCGAGTATGCTGAAAATATTTCATCTTTCACATTTTCAAACAGTTATATAGCTGCTGGGAGTAATGCAGAACAATCAGAATAATATATATTGATTGTATCTGCTTGACAATTTTACAGCATATTCAGCAGCTAACAGGAGCAAAGAACAGCATCCAGGAGCATAAGACTACACTGGCTGCAGAAAGTATTATTTTCTCTCTCAAACTGCTGCAGCTGCATTTATTATCGACTGACACAACATGATTCAAAACAAAAAGCTACTTCCATTTCACCCAACTTGCTCCAGTTTCCAACTTCAAACTCTTCGTCCTATCTGACACTCTTTCGCCTCCCACATGTGATGGCAGCTAAGGTGAATTTATTTTGTTCTTCTCCTGAGTTTCTTAAACATATTTATTTTAAGGAAATTAACAAATGACTCTCAATTATGTCCTTGGATGACCTTTGAACTTCTTAATTAACAATTGCCCGTACTCCATTTCTCTTTCTGACTACACCACAGTAGAAAAGTTTGAATCCACCTCCAGTGCACCTGGCCTTGCTTTCCTTTCACCTGGTCTCCTACCCACACACTATATCTACCGTCCTTCTCTCCATCATATCACCCTACTCTCTATCGTTACCTATCATAGTCCCTACACTCATCTCCACACTCTTGCCTTTCCTTCTTTCTCACTGCCTCCTAACACACCATCCCCTCATCTCTTCCTTTGTCTTTGGCCAACAGTTGCACAGTTTCATCCTTTTGGCCAACAAGCACCAGGGGCAGTCAGTGTTAACCCAGACTGATCCAGTGTGGTAAGCTCATTTGCGATGATTTACACGTTTGATTTGTCAAATATTGTATGTCTTGACCCTCCCCATGTATCTGAGCTTGACACTGGCACTAGAAGTACACTGGACTGTGTCCTCCCCATGTCTACGTTCACCATGCAGACTCTAATAAGCAACAAGTTATCAGACAGAGCTGGTGCAATAAGTTTAAATGACCTTGTAGTTCACTGTGCAGTTTCCCACCATCAAGAGGCTAAGCTAAGGAGTAGTTCACTGCTGACACCCTAACAAACAAACACAGAATCACACACAGATCGGACCCTGCGAGTCGAACATCTATCTACAAACTCACCTGAGGTGGTGACTGTGAGGTTGACAGAGTGCTTAGTCTCAGTCACGACACCTTCTGTGTTCCTGACTGTAATCTCACACTCGTATGTTCCCGTGTCGCTGGTGCTGACGTTCTTCAGAATCACTGAAACATCTCCGTCCTTCATGGTTGGATCTCTCAGCTCCACTCGGCCTTTGAAGAACTCATGCTGGTAGTTTTCATATGGACGCTGGTTTCGGAAGAAGAACACATAGGTGTCTGACTTGAGATCAGATCTTCTCCACTCCAGCAGGATGATGACATCACCTCTGGGACTCTGACACTGAAGAATGGAATCTTCCCCAGGCCTCACTTTGAGCTCTGTGGGATATAAACACAAAGAGAACAGAAAAAAACAAATATCGGTAACATGTTACTGCACATCTTTGAGATGTACTGTGTGGATCACAGTGTTAATGTACTGGCTTAATTATGAAAGCTTTGTTTCCTGACTGAAATATTTCTGACCTTTGATGTTTGAAATCCTCTGCTATTGTTTGCTATACTGCTTTAGCATTTTGAACATGACAGCTCTCCTCCACTTATTCTGTCAATAATGCTTTCTCCTGAAAGCCACTCAAACCTGCGACCGTATGTAAAAAGAAGCAACTCTGTCAAAGACTTTAAAGATTAATGTATGAAGAAAGCCAGTAAGAATGTGCATGTTGCTCTAAACACTAAGCTATAGTTTTAAGAAAGTTTTCACTTTTTAAGGAAATTCTTTTTTTCCTCAGAGGTGAGGGTACAAATTAGAGGTTTATATTATGACTATTTTTGTCATATAAAAATAGTGGTGGTGGCATTAGCATTCACACTTTTATGGTTTTCATACATTTTCAAGCAAACATATAAAAAAGGAGAGAAAAATCAACATGAACTATAATTTTACTAATTTTTGACATAAAAATTACATACTAGCCAAAGCTTTAACTTTCATTTAATAAGACCTTCTCTGTAGGATGGACAGTGATACGTGCACTGAAGAACAAATTTAGTGATATCCATGATAGTCTTCCCCTGGCTGACTAGTTCTGTGCAATACTGCAAATTTTTATACTGATTTTTATACTGACCAAGTAAAAACAGGGCCAGTACTGCTAATTATAATACCAATAATTGTAACCTATAAAGAGGGTGTAACAGAATGATGGACCCAACCACATAGCTTACACTTTACCCTTTTTATTCAGTTGCTAGATGTCCTAACACACTTGGCCGCAGCTTTTCAGCTGCCAACCTCAAACACACAACAACAACCTCAGGGCAGGTCTTATGAAGGAGAGGTGTGAGAACTGATGAAGGTCCAGTCTCTCTGTTACCACGCCCCGCCACAGATGGCTTATGTAGGGTAGAGCAGTGTGTCATGATTTATGAGCACACATTTTAATGACCACTAAATCGCTAATTTTGACTTCCTACTTAAACACAAGAAAGCAGATATTTCGGCTTTTCATGTATTTCGTGAAACTGGGCTTTTTTGGAGAACTGGAATTTAAATGTGCCTTTCTCTAAAGCACTGTGGGTAAACTTATGTAAATGTTTTACGGGCTATGGATAAAATAGATGTGACAACCAACACAAATAGGTTCAGACATTTTTCATATTGTATGTTTGAGCTATCTTTTAGTGGTCAAAATACTAAACTTAGAAGAGAAACAAAGTATCCTATTATCAATATCGATAGCAATACCATGACTGGAATTGGAACTATGGATATTTGGATCAGTCCGCCTATCTCTACCAATCATGGCTCAATTATAAATAGTACCTGTGACCTATTTCTCACAGGTATGTGGAAAATGGAATTAATGTATTTCTTTCCTCTAGTACTCTGATCCTAGCATTTGTGAACCAGATTAGTTTCCCCTGCTGGTTGTAAGCAAGATTACAGTGTAAGGTCTGTAATTTGGATTTTAGCAGAGTGGACCTGGTGAAGTCTTTTTCCTGTTGTTCTTATAGTCTCACCTGCTGCTATCATTGTTAGGTTAGTATGCTTTATGCCTGATGTGTTATTTGACTTCAAAAAAAAAATCTGTTAACATTCACACACAAGATCAATAAGCCCCCTGAAGAGGAGGGAACACTTTTACATCATATCTATCATATGGCATCATTCATAACCTGTGCTGTTCCAAAAGTATTTCTTTGTTCTGACTTTGAGTCACACTTTGAGAAAATCATATTGATCTCAAAAACCAACAAAAAAAAACAGCTAAACATTTTGATCTACTGCTGCCATAAATGCAGTAAGACTGAAAAGAAAACTTATCCCAGTTTATTGTTTAACTTTATTTCAGCAATTACTTGTAACTGTTACAATTCATTATAGAGGAAAAGGGACATGCCATTTAGTTATGAACAATCACCTTCATTATAAGCCCACTCTTGCATTTTTAGCCTCTTTTTATTGCCTGTAACGCTTTCTGTACAAATGTACTTGAGTATCTTGCAGATTTCAAGATGTAACTGAGGTTTCAAGCGAAAAAAACAACAGTTTAAAAAAATCGTTATTAAATACAGAGTGCCAACACTCCAGGTTTGCAGGAAGTTTTCAGTAACTCAGGATCAAATAAATCACATTTCAACCACTGTTTGAAAAATCTTTACTAACAAACATCTACAAAGAGTAGGTGAAAATATACATGCTTACAGTTTGCAAGGACTGGAGGATGTCTTTGCGCAGAGAAATACTCAGTACCTTTTGAATTCTTGTTCGCCTAATCAACGCCAGGCTTTGAGAAACTCTTACCGCGGGAAGCAAAATCTGTCCTACCGAGCTGCGCAGCTCAGAAACATTTTTGGCCTTTAACTCGTGGTTTCTCCCTCAGCTGGAACCACAGGTTCCTGGCGCTAAGCCGCGCTGCTAATCCACATTCACGTGCACCTTGACAATAAAAAAAAAAACATAACAAATAATAGCGGCAGGAAAAAAAAAGATGAATCCAAGCAAAACTGCCCCCCAAACATATACATATATAAATATATATGTAATAAGAATTTAACAAGATAAACTCGAAGACATTAAAACATACCCTTTGTGCTGCCTGTCTGCACTGTACCTGGACGTCTTCATGTTTCTGCTTCCTCCTGGCTGAAGAGTTGTAAAAAGTTATTATTACTTCTGTAGTTAAATATCTGCTTCATTACCAAATATTATTAACTGTCAGTGACAGTTAATGGTGGAGAAGTTTTTCAAACCATTCCTTTAGGACAGCAATGTCACACTCATTTTAGATCATCAGCTACATACACCCCACTTTGATCTTAGGGGAGCCAGACCAGTAAATTGGCATGATAAATGTGTAAAACTGAAGCAAATGAAATCTAGTAGTGAGTTTTAGTGAGTTTTTAAAAAAGTGCTTTATTTCTTCTTTAAGAAAAAAACTACTAAAACAATATGAAAACACCTCACTGCTGGAAAATTGTGCATGAAGTTTTAAAAGTAAAAACTATTATTCTGCACAAAGTGTTTGATATCAGCATAAAAATGATTAAAATTACTGCAAAAAGTAAAGGTTGAGCTACTTGATACTTTGAATACTTTGTATTCTGTTTCATGCATATTGAGTTTTAATTTTAATTATATAGTGTGAAATCACAACAACAATTAGATCAAGGGACTTTATATTTATAGAGAGAAAACCCCAACAATCATATGACCCCCTGTGAGGAAGCACTTTAGTGACAGTGGGAAGGAAAAACTCCCTTTTAACAGGAAGAAACCTCCAGCAGAACCAGGCTCAGCAAAGGGCGGTCATCTGCCACAACTGGCTGGGGTTGGGGGGAGGGCAACAGGACAAAACACATACTGTGGAAGAGAGCCAGAAAATAAGAACAATTATATGGAGAGAGGTGAATAAACACAAAGTGAGTGAAAAAAGGTAAGTGAACAAGAAACATTTAATCCATCATGGGAACCCCCCAGCAGCCTACACCTATTGCAGCATAACTAAGGGAGGATTCAAGGTCACCTGCTCCAGTTCTAACTATATGCTTTAGCAAAAAGGAAAGTTTGAAACTGTCTGTCTCCCGAATCCAAACTGGAAGCTGGTTCCACAGAAGAGGGGCCTGAAAACTGAAGGCTCTCCCTCCCATTCTACTTTTAAATACTCTAGGAACAACAAGTAGGCCTGCAGAGCGAGAGCGAAGTGCTCTAATAGGGTGATATGGTACTACAAGGTCATTAAGATAAGATGGGACCTGATTATTTAAGACCTTGTATGTGAGGAGCAGGATTTTGATTTCTGGATTTAACAGGAAGCCAATGAAGGGAAGCCTAAACAGGAGAAATATGCTCTCTCTTTCTAGTCCCTGTCACGGTTGTAGAATGTCCAGCATCATATTCAGTTAATCATGTTTGAAGTGACTGTCCTGTGAGGCCATTGCTGGAGTGGAGCAGACAGCAAACATGCTACCTCTGCTCAATCGTTAAAACAGCTTCAGTTATACTTTGTTACGTTTTACACACACACACACACACACACAGGCAAGGTACTCTTTGTTTGTATGTAGACGTCATATGTTAATGAACCTATGTATATTCATGTAACCTCAATAAAAGATAAAACAGCAGTATTATGGGGGAGCGGACGAGAGTCTGACGGACCCATATGGAAAAGAAATAGTAAAAACATATATGATTTACTCATGAAAGTGGCCACTTTCTCATTACTTTCATATTTTTTTTTAGTAAGTATACAAAACATACAAGTTTCATTATATAATTTTTCAAGGGATCTTATTTCTGTTTTCACTCTTGTATGCTTTTCATACAAGTTTCATACAAGACAGATTAAAAACTTTATAAGATTTATATATATCTTTTCCATATGGGGAGGTCAAGTGGTGGAACGACACTTGGCTCCAGGCAGGTCTCCCTCATGCATGAGTAACACGAAGAACTTTGCCTACTTGGTGTTCAATGCTTTTGCTGTGTTTTTAAATTGTCTCGTTCCAGCGGTGGGCCTGTGCTAGACAGACCCAACAGTCTGAAAATACTTTATAGGTAACCAGTCCGGTAAAGTAACAGCTATGATAATCAATAACAATAATCATTATGTGATACCCACTAATGTGTGATCACATTTATGTGAATTAATTTAAGTAATTTCACTTTCAATGTAAGTGATATTTCCATTTGGAAATGCCCTAAATAACTACAGTAATTTTAACAGGAAACTTGGTAACTACCCTGGCATATTTGTAGCGGACGCTTCATTTTTGTACCAGTAGGTGGCAGTGTGAGACCATGGTTTGGCCTGTTGTTAGCAGCCTGACGCGCATGCCACGTCTCCCTGTCTGATCATTTCTTTCCTGTTTACAGGTTCGTATCGTGCCCGAAAGAGAATATAATAGCAATCACATCCATTATATAGCATAGACTAACCATTACGGTTGGAAAGTGAAAGCGTACAACATTGTGTAGTACAGTAAATTACACTTTTGTAAGTATTTGTTTACGGCTTTAGCAGCATGCTAAGGTTAGCATGTTAGTTTGGGTCGCACACCTCCTATGCTCTGTGATGTTAGTGATCGGCTCCACCGTTATTCTGTATTGTTTTAGTATCTTGTTTCTGCCATAAAGTGTTTCCGTGAATTCAGTGCACATGTCAAGATGGTGCTGATTATACCATTCTTTCAAGCTATTTGAGATTTATAGATTTGTCCTGTTGGAATTCATTATGAACCACGTTTTACAAGAAAATTGGTCATGTCTATAACATTGGAATGTGTTATGGAGAATGTGTGTGTGAGCTATGTTAAGAATAAGTAAATACACAGTTGTAATACTGTAAAAGTAATGAAAGGAGTGCATAATTGTGAATTTGAATAAATAATGGCAGAGTATTCAGGAAACGGCAAGCCACGTCTCCCTGTCTAATCATTTCTTTCCTGTTTACAGGACACATATATAGCTGTCTACAGGTGCTGCCACCCGGTACCTGTAACAATTACAGTCTCCAGATGTCTAGTTGCTTGTTTTTGTGTTTGTGTAAATTAGAGGTGTTTTCACAGTGGCTCTTCCATTCACACAGCCACCACAGTTCAACTTGTTTTTTCATTAGCTGCTGTAAGATAGCCGCACATGGTCTTCCCTCCCTCTCTGCAGCCTGCACATGTCTGCACAGCCAGAGCAACGTGACAACATCATAACAAAAACAGAGCAGAGGACAAGAGGTGGAGCTAGTGTATGTGCCATAGGAGCAGTGTTTACACACACTTGATAAAAACAGGGAAGTACTAGTTTCGACGAATAAAACTTATGCGTTGTTGACGAGCTAACCCTTCAGATCAAACTATGATCATGAATGTATTTCTCTGACAATCTGCAGAAACAGCTGTCTAACAATCTTCTCAAATAACACCGTAAAAACTGCATCTGTTTGAAACTACATAACAAAACCTGCAAACTGTTTCACTTATGATTAAGACACACAGAGCTTCACCTGCTCTAGGTTATTTTGCATTGTACATCAAACATGTCCTAAACTCGCTGACATTTTATTCCACTCATACTAAAACACGCACCAACTGCTTCCGTTTTATCCTGCAAACACTGCAACATGCACGATTACAATGTTTACATTCCCGTTTTAAAAACCCCCAAAAAAACCACAGTCGTCTTTTTCATCTTACCGTATGATGACCACTCACCTTCTAATCCACAACCTACAAAGATCGGAAGGGACAGGAAAAAAGCATTAGACCACATGTCTGCAGGAAAATTGCACAAGTGTTGATCTGCACCAACTGAGTCTGAATCTGTTTGCTTTGATACTTAAACATGTGTGTGTGTGTGGGGGGGGGGGAGTCCTACCTCATGTGACAAATATGGCCAATGTGATTGGCTGTGCCTTTCAGGGAGCTTTGTTTAGTTTTAGCAGCGGCAACCCTGCGCTGCGAGGACCTGCAAGGGAACAGTCTGTCTATTCTCTGTCCTCACTCTGGACACTTGCAGTTGTCACACTTGGAAATCAAATGTGTGAGTGGGTGTTCACAGACGCGGACTACAGCTTTCTTGGCTGCTGCCTCAAAGCACATTGTGCGCTGTCTATCTTGCGTGCTGCACAATACTGTTTATTATTTAGTATCTACTGATATCTACTGCTAGCTAGTTTATTGTGATGGTGCCCTCTTTTTTATTATGTTGCTCTTTGTTGTTTGCTTTCTCTTCTGTTTTTTTTCTCCATACAGGTGACCCAGGTGTTTTGTTTGTTTTGTTTGTTTGTTTTGTCTTTCTCCCCCCCCCTCTCACCGTCTCTTCTCCCCTTTGGTTTTCTTTCTCTCCCTCTCTTTCTTTCATTCTTTCTCTCTGTCCTATCCCCCAGTCATGTCTGTCCCGTTTGTAGCAACTGAAAATAAAATAAATTCATAATTATAATAAAGGTCAATCAAATGGACCAATATGGCAAGGCCATGATTAAAAGAAAAAAAAAAGGGAAATCAAATGTGTGATAAGCTGCAGGATTCAAACACAAGTGTAATTTATAAATACATTTTCATACTTTTATTCCACAATCAGAGAGAAAGAAAAAGAGAGAGAGTGCAGGACAGACAGACAGGTGACAGTCTCAGGTGTATACACTGCTACAAACAGGAGGATTTAGTGTGTGTGTTATTACGAGTGCTAAACAAGAAGAGTTCCAGATGGTACAGTGGACACATGTGTGACTGCTGTGATTAAAGCATCTTTCTTTCAGCTTAACGAGTGAACCGTCAGCTCGTTCAAACACACGTTAAAGTCCGTTTGGCTCGACACCACCGAACAGAGGCAGCAATATAACATAGCTAACATTAACAGTGCAGTGAATCCTGCTTGTGCTGTGATATTCAGGACTGCAAACCGAGCAGCATCACTGACTTTCAGCTTGTTGTGTTTGTGGATATATGACTGACTTTAATTATCCACAAAATCATCACATTCTCTGTGTGGCCAACAGTAATGTTTTAATGTTCTTCATTATTAAACATTTGCACATAAATAAGTGACATAATATTCAGTACTTACTTTTTAAACTTTACTCTTCGGCTGCTGCATTCCAAGCAGCCTTTGAATTGGGACAGCCTTCGTCGCGTCACTGTGACGTAATCGACCTTAAAATGCGGCCTTGGGATACAGCCATGGAGTTGGATACCGGCGGAAAACACCTGCAAAGATAGAACAACAACAACAACCGCACTCATATATATTCAAATAATTAAAAAAAAAAAGTTAATTTACCTGTTACTAACACTCACCAAATCCGGTCATTGGTATTGCGTTGTTGTGTGGGACACCAGTAGTCCATGTCTGTTGCTGTAACAGTAGTTCATGTTTAGAATAAAAAAACTATGTAACCAACATATAAAAAATCCCAGCTCACTGACTTGATCGGGGCAATAGTGCCTAAAGTGTTGCATAATTTTGCTGAGAGATCTTTTACTTTGTGGTAATCTTAGATGAGTAGTTTTATGGACAAAACCCACCAGGTCATTCAGTGTTCCCTTAGTGCAAATGTATCAGAGATGTTGGTGCAGTATAACTGAAGTAATGATGTTAAGTCCTTAAAGTCATATTCTTTTATTGTCATGACTCTATTTGAAGCTATTTTTATTTTTGTATGATACCTGATTTATATGGAATATGACTGAAGTAAACTAAAGCCTAAAATACTTAGTCAGTCATTTGTTTAATAGTAACTTAACATTATATAATTCACATATAAAACTATGAAATTGTAATTTTAAATAGTTTAAAAGCATGTAGAAAAAGCTGGGTAGGACGTTCTGTGACAAACCACTGGTTTGTATTTATGGGAGGGGGTGTTACGGCCTCCTGATACTGCCCTTGTGTGGGCGTGGTGTTTTTCTCCGCCTCCTCCTCTCTTGCTCCACCCCTGTCTCTCTCTTGCTCTTCTCTCTCCCCAGGACACAGCTGCTGCTCATTGGACTCATTTACCACCTGGGCCCAGTCAGCAATCACCTCTCTGAGGTCATATAAGCTGTGTGTATGTATGTGGGCCCCTGGAAGTGCCTCCTCGTGGTGTGGAGTTTTTGTTTGGTTGTTGTGTTCTTTGGTGTTGCAACCTTTTTTCCTTTTTCCAAGTGTTATTGGTAAAACGGCGTTGCCGGCTCTTTATGTTAAGATTATCTATAATAAAGACTATTTTATTTACTAAAAACACCAGTCTGTCTTCCTTTCCTGCTTTTCTGGACTCATTTGTTACTGGTCCCCTGACTCGCAGGCCTAGACCCCTTTGGGGGGACGTAACAATAGCATATGTAGGCAAGTATATTTCTCCTTTTTTATTAACAAGCAAAGACAAAAAAGGGAAAAAAAGAAACGGGGTGGGGTTTGGTGGTTGAATTATCCGTCCCCACCAATGCCAAAACCAAATCTACACCCTTGACGAGGACCACTGTAAAGTCAGTGCTTCAACACTCACAGACTTGGCAATTTGGCAATTACCATATTTCTTAGTACTTATAATTAAGAAAGCCCAAGTACCAAAATCTACTTCTTGACAGGCAAAAACAATGAAATGAAAATAAACATGTTTTATGTAACTGCTCTTAGAGTTTGTTTTCCCTCTGCATACAGCTAAGGTCAAAACAGTTAAGATGCATTCATGATGTTAAAAATGCATCATCTTTACATTTTTTTTTAAAACTCTGAAGCATATCTATGGGTCAGAACAGCTTTGAAAACATCAGCCTCCCTCTTTCTCCATAAGAAACATTTTAAGGTTTAAAATCAGATTTTAATTTGATAGAGAATTTATTAGTTGCTTTTCTTTAAATCATTTTTCTATTTAAAAAAAAAAAATCAAGTGAGCCACCCTGTTGGTGTTTTCATTCTTTTTTGTTCATTGCTCTAACACACCTCATGAGTCATATCTCAGCTTGAAACTAAAATGTTAGAGACCTTTTTCCCTCTACAACTACTGCAGAGAAACCACAGACCCCCTAAATGGTGCTACTGAGAGGAAGGAGGAGGGTTTAAGTGCTGCAGTGGAACAACAACAATCTCACACCTCTGTGAGGCACGATGGGACAAACAGCTCTTCTGTGGCTGCTCCGTAAGTAACACGTGCTGCCTTTAAATGTTTTTTGTTTTTTGTTTTTTTTTTTTGTTTTTTTTGCTGCCTTTAAATGTTAATGTGTTTCTTGAAGTAAACCTAGTAAAGAGTGGCACTGAGATAAAGCAAAATATATTTACTTTTCCTTACTTACAGAGGTGTTTTAATAATCCACAGAGACGTACATGTGACCAACTAAGGTGTTTTAATTCAGCCTATTTCTGTTGATTTTAGAGGTTTAAAGTTTAACTTAATTGAATTAATTAAAAGTTGAGGCTTTCCATTCAGTGATGCAGACTGCAGTGAGAAGTGTCAAAGGGCATTTTCACATATTCACCCAAAGCACACTGCTCATACAAACTGAGATTTGGTGTTTAAAGCAAGAAAAGAAAAAAAAATACTAAAAGATGACGAATTGTTTTGTTTTCTCATCAGTTCCAAGGTTTCTGCTTTGCCACACAACAAACCAAGGTTAGTGAATTTATTCTGTGACAAACTAACCAACACAAGCTGAGCAATAAGGACCAAAACTAGAGCTAGAATAGAAACCGATTACACCCAGATGTGTCTGCTATGGAGGTCAAAACAGCTTTAATTTGTTTCAGACGGATTGAACTGAGCTGAACTAGAGCTACATCAAGACAACAAAATGTACAATTGGTAGATTTTGTTGTCTTGGTAAACTACCAATGTATAGTTTTTTTTTTAACAAATAGAATCTTTAAGGAATAATTATTTATATATTACAGTGCCAGACTGTGGAACTTTCTCTGAGCTTGAGATCTGTGGACTCAGTCATCGCTTTTAAAAAACAGCTAAAAATTCATCTTTTAAAACTTGCTTTTGGTTGATTTTTGTTTTTATGTTTTAGCGTCTGTGAAGCACTTTATGATTTTATCTTGAAAGGTGCTATATGAATAAAATTTTACTTATTACTTTACTTACTTTATGTTTTTGTTCAAAAATATAAATTCTCTCACAGCTCGTCTGACTGTGAGTCCCAGCAGCTCTCAGTTCTTTAAAGGAGACTTTGTGTCTCTGAGCTGTGAGGAGGACGACAGCTCTGCTGGATGGACTCTGAGGAGAAACACAAGCAGAGACACCGGAGCTGAGTGTGACAAGTGGGGAACACCAGCTGGTTCTTCATGTAACAACAATGTTTTCCCATGGGACAGTGGAGTTTACTGGTGTGAGTCCAGAGAGGGCCCCATCAGTAACATGGTTAACCTGACAGTCACTGGTAAGCTGAGTGTGTGGAGTTAGTGTTGATGAAGCTGTGTGTAAATGGATGAAATGCTGTAGTTTGTCTCTGTGTTGAGGTGGATCAGTGATCCTGCAGAGTCCTGTCCTCCCTGTGATGGAGGGAGATGACGTCACTCTGCTCTGTAAAACAAAGACCACTCCCTCCAACCTCCCAGCTGCTTTCTATAAAGATGGCTCCCTCATCAGGAAGCAGCCTACAGGTCACATGACCATCCAGCATGTTTCCAGGTCTGATGAAGGCCTCTACAAGTGTGACATCAGCGGTCATGGAGAGTCTCCATCCAGCTGGATCACTGTCACAGGTAAAATTTAGCTTTCTTTCAAAAATATTAGACCCAAAGTGATTCAAACTGGCCACAAAGATTTGCGTTTCTCTTTAATTACAGGTTTGTCCAACTCTGCGCCTCCTTCATCAGCCTCCAGTACCTCCATCCACTTCTCCTCGTTTTTCTCTCCTCCTCCTCAACGATCCTCTCCTCCTCTCTCTGTGATGATGTCTATTTCCTCCATATTTGGAGTTCTGCTGGTTGTACTGGTTGTACTGGTGAGACGATGTGTTCAGAGGAAAGCTGAAGGTAAGACACACATTCTGGTCAGACTCTGGGAGATTTGGGTAATGGGTGTTAAACAATTTTAAAGGGAAATTTTACTTCAAAATCAAATCTACAGTTTTTGGCTCCTGAGTGCCACAAAGCTGACATATCAAACATTGAACATTTCAAACTAAAATTTCAAAAGTGGATACAAAACAAACACATGTAGGGATGATTCTAAGGTGACATGTTTTTTTTTTTGTTTTGGGGGGGGGGGGGGTTTAAGAGTCACGTGACTGCTGAAATGTTGCTGCCTTTGTGAGGACCTTTGCAATTTTAAATCAAAGTTAAATTAGGTTAGCAACTGTACACAAGTTTACTTCAGCATTTCACATTATTTAATATATTTAAAAATGTAACATTTAATAAATTTGAAAGGTATACATTTTAGTTGTTTTCCTGTGTGTGAACTGTGATGCTACATATGAGACTTTGTGGTCAAAGAGTTTTGATGTGAAGAACATGTGCCGCCGTCCAGTTTCCTGTTTTTTTACTTAAAAAAGAAAAAAACCTGTTACATGGTGTTACTATTTGTATTGATATAGGACATTATAGCTGATTCATAAATCTTAATGTTCCAAATGTTGGAATTGCACCAGCATCAGTTCTGTTATAAGTGAAATCTTTGGATTTGGTTTAAAAGAGAAAGATCCTCCAGCAGCTGCCTTCTACTCATCAGTGACAAGAACAGCAGCAGACGACCAATACAGGTCAAAGAGGACGAAAGGTACAGAAAGTTTATGGCTAGATTCATTTCAAGGCAGAGAGGCCCACAGGATATTGGAATATTGAAAAATAAAGCTTCAAAACACTGATGTTGAAACAGCTGTTGTCTCGCTTCACAAACGATCCTGTCATATCTGTCTGAATCAGATTTCAAATGATTAGAAGGAATAACATGACAATACATTTGAACATTTTACTGGTAAACAGACAAAATGTTGCAACACTTTTATGTGTGGACGTTGATTCTTAGAATGAAGAATGTATTGCTTTTGTATTGAAATTTGAATCAATAACATGTGAATCATTTGGAAGTTTGTGGCTGCCATAACTGGACCATCCACCACGTATCAGTGGTCTGTCTTTGAGGTTTGGAAGCTTCGAATCTTTTTTTCTGTACAGTCAGGAAGAAGTCTCAGAAGCTTTTTTCTGAACTCCTTTTATTTCTCACATTAAACCGGACCTGTCCTGGTTACATCCATCTGCATATTTTCATTCTTGTGTTCTGTTAGCGTAGCTTTGCATGATTCAGATGTTAAAGTAACCATTGGTGCAAACCCTCGGCTCATCCTCTTGGTTTTTTTAGCATCCACTCAGGCATTCTTCTGTGAGAACTGAAAGTTTGTGTAACTTGATGTTTAGGTCAATGCTTACAATAGCTAGTTAGCGCTTTGATATCCAAATAAGTCCACAAGATTTTCTTTGAAAAGATTAATGAAGAACTATCAGTGTAAAACTGTGGAAAAAAAACCCCACCAAAATCGAAACTAATATTACTTTATATACATTACAATAATAGACTCTTCATGATGCAACAAATTTATGTTACTGATAAAGTAAAGCAGACAAACTGCTAGCTTATTGGGGGTAACGCCTTCAAATCAGCTAATTTCTGATAAACCAAAATAAAAATATAAGAAAACCAACAAAAATAGGAAATAATGTCATAACTAGGCAGAAATAATACATCAACTATTTACAGACAAATGTGTACATTAAAATCTGGTGAGATAATCAACTATTTAAATTACAACATCTTTTATCAAAGACAGCACACAGTCCTGATAACATGATACCAACCAGCTAAAGTTTATCCACTCATGTTGAGCAGAAACATTTGGTTTTCTGTGCAGCATTTGAACACAGAACAGTTCAGCTCTGTGATGAGGCCGTACTCAGGATCAGGTACAAATTTACTCCAAAGCCTTTTATTTCATATTGCTTGGATTATTTGGTTTCACGGCTTAGCAACAGCTTTCTTTACATGATGCATTGTTTTGACACATGAGCAGCTTTGTGGTCATTAAGCTTCCTGTTTTTGAAAAGTAAACTCAGCAGAGGTGTTAAAGTCACCTCAGGTTAAAGGGAGGATGTGCCATGTCCTCATGTTTGCAGCTCTAATTCATGAAAACTCCATTTTTCGGAAGCGTAGAGCTGCCACCCAGGCAAAAGAAAAATACAAGTGTATCACGTTATAACGTGAAAGGTTTATTGTTCTAACAAGATACTTTTCCTGTTTGTACAATATACTTTTCACGTTTGAACAACATAATATCACGTTATTACAATATACATAATTATCACGTTCGTACAATATAATATTTATATTGTACGAACGTGATCCTATATTGTACGAACGTGATAATTATGTATATTGTAATAACGTGATACACTTGTATTTTTCTTTTGCCTGGGTGGCAGCTCTACGCTTCCGTACCATTTTTATCTCATCCTAAAAAATGAGTTTCATGTGAGTCACATGACTTTGTTTTGTTTTGCAGAGACTGATCCACCTGCAGTTTATTCATCAACAGCTGACGTCAGTTATGGAGAAATCACCGTCAGGACAAACAGCAGGCACAGAGGTACAGCTGCTCAGGTTTGATACTTGCTCCAAAAGTGTGCTCACATGAAGCTGGTTATCGGCTCCACAAGTCAGACTGTCTACATAACAGAAGATAAATTATAACATTAGAAAAATATGAAGAGGTTAAACACATGAGACACAAAGCTACTGGAGAGAAATCTGGGTCTGAGAGGAAAAGTATTTTATGTAAATACAGTTTTAAAAAAAATTGTGTGTCACTGTGAAAGTGGTGTAATCATGTGTGAGTGATCATTAAGACTAGAATAATATTATTACAGGACAGAGAGGAGAGGTGGAAAGAGAAACAGTTTGCCTCCTGACATCTAAACTTTCTGTAATCTGTGTGTTTGTGTTCAGATCTTCCACCAGAGCCAGCCATCATCTACTCCTCACTGAAGCCGAGCCACACACCTTCACCACAGCTTAACTAGTGTGACCAGTGAAGTCTAGCTGGCTGCCGAACACAACCCTGCTCCCCTCTCTATATTAGTATTTATTTAATCATATTCTCTGTGTGTTTAGTCATACAGCTGCACTGAACCAATGATGAAGTGGAAATAAAACATTTTTTATATTAAGCGGTTCCCCCCATGCTGATGCAACATCAGAGATTCAAAAAGTCTCTTACCTGAAGCAGAATGAACAAAGTTCAGTCTGAAAGTCTGCAGAGCTCATTTCTGTAAACAGCTGCAGCACATTAGCATACACCACTCTTTTATTTTATTCTTTAGCTGATCTGAACCTCACCAAGAATCATTAAGGAGTGTAGGAATGTCATTTCTGCTTTAACAGACTGAGCATCCTCTCTGCTGAAATGCAAACAGGAGAGGTAGCAGGTATCTTGTCCCCAAAGCATAATTTCAAACTGGTGCTGATGAAATATGCAATGTGACATAACTGCATCAAAACTACCGCTGGACTTTATCATTAGAGGCACTGTCGCAAAGCAACAATCACACAATGTTTTGCTACACGTGCACCAGAGTTCATGACACGCTTCGATTTTTGGGCCACTTTTAAATAAACTTACGACATGGTGCAGTGTGGCAGACATCAGTTTCCTCAGCTGATATCTTTCTAACAGAAGCAGTGACGTGCACAGACTGATCATGATAAAAAACTTTTAGATTTAGTTATTATTTTCAAGTTGGGCACCTGGTTGTTTTTCTTTTGTCCTCTGTGTTCACGCTTATAAGAAGTCTTCAGTCTGTGCTGTAAATATGTTGCAATAATCCACTTCTTTGAAGAACCACAGGAATGTCAGACTGGGCTCCCGACTGTTTAACGGAAATTAGACCTCCACCTCTCAGCTGCTGCATGTCTCTTCTCATGGAAAATCTGCTGAGCGTCATGTTAACAAATGATAGCCGTACAGTAACTTTTATGCTTATTGTAGCTGTTAGCTAAAAAAGCTAATTTAGCATAGTTTGCCCTGAATTCAGCTTTGACAAACAAATATGATCGACTGTTTCTAGTAGAATTCCAAAGTTGTCATCTTGTACCCTCTCAGAGTGCCCCTCTGTATGCTTGCAGTAGGGAAACATGCAAAACGGTGCCCAAACCTTTGTGTTTTAGCTTTATTTATGTCTTACACAGCATCCCAACTCTTTAGCTAACTTAATAACTTTAGCTAAAGTTAAGCTGCGTTTTCTCTGCTTTCCTGGTCCACGCATAAATGCAAAAACGAATTTTTCAAAATTATCCACCGAGATTTTTAAAAACCCTTTGGTTTTTAAAAGTTTCAGTTTTCAGCGACCGAAAAGACTGTTTACGTGCGTGACGTAGAAGGTATCAAGCAACCCCCAACCTCCAGTCAGATGATAGTCCCACCCTCTCCCTGTCTTGGCGGAAATAAAAAGAAACACGCACTTTCCTCCCTGCATTCATTCAAACATTAGCTCTAGATGCAAGTTTATCTAAAAATCTGAATTTATCAGTAGATTAGCCGATTAAAAACTAATTTTGAACATCATTTATAGAAAACAGAAAACAAAACTGTGTGATCGGCAAATCTATGCGCTGAAATGGGTGTTTTGATAACTAAGCCACACTTGTGGATTTTGTTTGCGGTCTTCACCCTGGAGTGTACTTCTGCAGGTGAGATGTGCTAATAATGCTTTCAATTATGCTGAGCGAGTTCTTACTTGGTGACATGTTTTTTTTCATGAGTTTTCTGCTGCTTTTATTAGTGAGCACTTACTTGACATATTTTACCTACATAACCCGCCAGGTGGTTACTGACGTCTATTCATTCATTTGCTGATCAGAGAATAAAAATAATCACGTATCAATGCGTCCATTCAAATAGTTATGATGCTTCCCGTGGAGAGAACAGAAACTATGTCCATGGCTGTTCTTTTCTCCTAATCTTAAGGTACTTCATTATTCCTTTATTACGCAGTTTAGCACAGGATGCACAGCAACGCAACGCCCCCTGCTGGACATGGAATAGAATAAAATAGGATAGAATAAACTTTTATTATCCCACAAATGAGAAATTTATAGTCGTAGAAAGTAGTCCTAGTCGCGCGCACACACACACTTACACTGATAAGCACTCACTCATCCCCCCTCCCTTTCCAACGCCTTCGATGCTTGTGCCCTATAGCAGTCTTATAGCAGTATAAGATAGCAGTCAACTGGACCAGCACAGATGCTGCAGGACCGGATGCGCTGTCTACACCGGCTCTCTCTTACCCTTTACCCGCCCCTGTTGCTTGTCTCGTGTTTCTATGGTGTTTTGATAGTCATGTGCTTTTTGTGCTGAGGTGTTTTTTCTGTTATCAAACTGTTCTCCCACTAGGAGCTCAGTCTGAGTGGAGTTTTTTTTCTCCTCCTCTTACCTCATCTAGTGTATTTTCGTTGTTTTTTTCCTATCAGCCTACCTTCTGACATGTCTGCCCAATGTGATGTTTGTGTAAAGTTGGTCAGAAGGTTCCTTTGTAAGTGCGCATGCGCCATTAGCGTGCTGCCTGCTGTAACCCTAATTTCCCTCGGGATGAATAAAGTATTCTGATTCTGATTATATACATAAGCAACCGAAATTCATATACACAGATAAAAATGTAGGTAGATTTGTACACAAGTGTGGGTGGTATATAAATGCTCCTGGTGAACTATACAGTGTACAAACAAGCTGTTAACAAGCAATTACAAAACATCAGCTTAGCTTAGACAACATCCTCTCTCCCCAACCTGCTCCATGGACTTCAGTGGACAGTCCAGGACAGAGAGTCCTGTTCACCCCGAAGGATCTCAGCTGCCGTAGCAGGTGGAGACAACTTAGACCCTTTTTGTAAAGTGTATTTGTGTTCGTGGACCAGTCCAGTTTGTTATTGAGGTGAACACCCAGGTATTTGTACTCCAAACCCTGGATGTTCACTGATGTAATAGAGAGTGTCAGTCACCAGCTCCTTCGTCTTGCTGGCATTGATGCAAACATGGTTCTGTTCACATCAGTTGACAAAGTCACTGATGACACTTCCTATTCTTAATACATCCTGTATTAAGAATAGGAAGTAGATGTAAAACTATGATGATGATGATAATAATAATAAATGTTTATTTTTATTATTATTAATAAATATTTCCATAATAATAATGGATTGCATTTATATAGTGCTTTTCGAGAGCCTCAAAGCACTTTTACAATTCCTCTATTTATTCACTCTCACATTCACACACTGGTGGAGGCAGCTACATTGAATAACATTTAATACTTGTGTGATGGTTTGACCAGTGTGCATAACTCCAGTGTCTTCTGATTGGCTGCTGTAGAATTGAAGAGTTATACTTGGATCCATCTCTGCTCTGTGTTGTTTCCTCTTTCAGACCAGAAAAACATCACAGCTGAGTCTGGACAAGACGTCACTCTGACATGTCGAGCTCAAAACAACGACTTCAAGCTTGTAGAGTGGAGCAGAACTGACCAGAGCAGAGCTGAACATGTCTTTTCGTGCCGGATTGTTACGAAAGGACACTTTGCTCCAGTTGAGCAGCATCCATCTTTTAAGAACCGGGTGGATCTGCAGGACAGACAGATGAAGGATGGAGACGTGTCTGTGATTCTGAAGAATGTGATGATTAATGACACTGGAACATACAAGTGCTGTGTTGTTGTGGGATCACTATCATGTGAACCCATCAACAGCATCTACCTTCATGTTGTTGATCCTCCAGGTGAGTGAGTAGAGTTGAGTGTGTGTGTGATCAGAGGTGAAGCTGCTTCCTGGTTGTTGTCACCTACCTGACAGCTGACACCTCACACCTGTTTCTCACCTGCAGGTCAGCCAGGAGGACAAAAGAAGGATGAAGACAACAAAGATGGAGGAAAGGAGGACAGAAGGAAGGAGGATGGACCTTTTGGACTGATAGTTGGTCTCTCAGTTTCTGCTCTGCTTCTTGTTGCTGCTGTTGTTGTTTTGATCTACAGAAAACATAAGAAGCAGAACCGGGATTCATACCAGCCTCCTGTTGAAATGAAAAATCTCAGAGCATTTCCAGATGAGCTCTGAGTAGGGATGGGTATCGAAAACCGGTTCTTGTTGAGAACCGGTTCCCACTGTTTCAATTCCTTGGAATTGTTTGCCATTTTTGCAAACGATTCCCTTATCGATTCCAGTCGCCCCGAATGACGTCACCACGTTGCGGAGCGTCATTTACCTGGCAGGAAACACGGCGCCTAAGCGGCTCAAACGCTCAAAAGTTTGATTATACTTTATGAGAACCGATGACAACAGGGCAACTTGCAAAGTAGATATTTCATTTAAGGGAGGAAACACTGCAAATATGCAAAAGCATTTGCTCACAAAACACGCGATGACACGTGTTTTTAATTCCGCTCCGGACTCGTGACTCTCAACCCAGCAGCAGCGCTAACGTTTGCACGTCCTCTCCCGTTAATGCGGCAGGTAAATAATCAACTAACAGTGCATATTATGTTAGAGCGATCTGCCTTATTACAAGACCTGCCATTACTGTACATGTACATGTACTCTGTCTGGCTGGCGCTCACTGGCAGTTCTCGCTGCAGTCTACCGGTAGCGTCTCCTTTCAGGCCAGGATAGACGAATGTCACCGAGCAGTGTCTAAGTTTGTGGTCAAAGGCTTGAACCCATTTGCCAGAGCAGATGCCCCCGATTTTTGGTAAGTGAATGTGTTTAATTGTAGGCAGGGACATTACTGGATATTCTTGTGTAATTGCCACAGAACAATTTATGTTATACTTTGTTATTGCTACAGAAGAATATTTATTTTATTATTTTACATTTACAATTTTTTTTCCTGGGGACCCTGTGACACCCCATTGAAGAGCTGTAGGCTGCGGATCTCTTAAGATCTCACTGTTGGGTTTGTAAGGCCATGTTACTCCTAAATTTCTATCTTGTTCAAAGAGAAGATATAAAACAAAGTTCTAAGCTAATCGAACTTAGTGTTCTCCTTTTTAAAAAAAAAAAGAATCGATAAGAGAATCGATAAAGAATCGAATCGTTAAACAGAATCGAAAATGGAATCGGAATCGTTAAAATCTTATCAATACCCATCCCTAGCTCTGAGTCTCCTGCTGTTGCTCCAAATTCCCAGCATGTCACTCAACACAGGAACAAACAGATGGCCTGAGGACGTGTTTATCATGAAACGTGTGCTAAATTTCTTTTTCAGGGTTTTTATTTATTTATTTCTGTGACTGAAAAACTGACTGAAATTCTGGATTCTCTTCTGTTCTTTACTCACCACCTTCTTCTCACCTGCAGGTCCTCCTGGAGGACATGGAGGGTTTGTGGGACTGGTAATAATAATAATGGATTGGATTTATATAGCGCTTTTCAAGTCACCCAAAGCGCTTTACAATACCACTATTCATTCACTCTCACATTCACACACTGGTGGAGGCAGCTACAGTTGTAGCCACAGCTGCCCTGGGGCAGACTGACAGAAGCCAGGCTGCCATATCGCGCCATCGGCCCCTCTGGCCAACACCAGTAGGGTAAAGTGTCTTGCCCAAGGACACAACGACCAGGACAGAGAGCCCAGGGATTGAACCGGCGCCCTTCCGGTTACAGATATGCTTCCCAACCCCCTGAGCCATGGTAGTGAGTCTGTCAGTTTTGGTGTGTTTGTTCTTGTACCTAATGATTTGATCTGTAAAAGAAGAAAAGGGAATGGTGCTGAATATGTGATTTCTGCTTCTCAGAGATCCTGTTAAAGTCTAAAGACATTGGGAGGGTTTCACACTGTTTGGAGCAGGGAAACAGGTACTAATGGTGCAATACTGACTGATGTGTTTGTGGTTATGAACTCGTACACATGAACATCCCTCAGGTTCATGTATTCAAATTTAGGTCCCAGGACACAAACTTTATATTTCCCATTTTTAAAGAGTGAAAAATGTTACATTTGGACATCTGTGGGGTTGGTGATGGAGGGAATCATTTAACAGCTCACAGGTTTCTACACTTATGCATTAAAAATGCATCACTTTAAGAATTAAATCTATTACATTAGATGAGGATGACGGTTTGGGATAAAATTGTTTACACTCTTTAAGCTCTGTTTCTTAGTTGTCATGGTGATGCATCCTGGCAATGTTACAGACATGAAAAATATCTCAGAGTGAAACACTTTAGTTACAGTCATGTTGACTGTAACTAAAGTGTCATTTTTATAACTCCCTCTTTATAACTGTCTTTACCATGTAAAGTTTCCTCAATTTACACAAACAGGGATTTTAGACTGCAAAATGGAATTTTGTGCAGCTAAAAATGACAAATTTTGTTTTATGAAAACTGAAGTTAATGCAGCAGTGACTGGAAAATGACCTGTTCTAGAGAACAGACCATCTCAGTACCACTGACTTTATGGTAGTTTTCAAATTTATTTATTTATTTCCTTCAGCAGGTACTTGAACTTCCTTCAGTGGAAAATGGGATCAGAAGTGTTATAAAAACCTGTTTTACATTTCCTATTTGTGAAACTTTGTTTTTTTGTGTGTAAGCCAACAATTTAAACAAAGAAATTTATGCTTTTTTTCTCTGGGTTTAGTGTTTTGCAAGATTATGAATGCATAAATGCTGTGATCTGTATTAAAAAATACTGTTGCTGTCTGTGCATGTGTGAAGTCAGCCATGAAATCCTGAAGGTATCAGAGTAAAAAAGCTGGTTTAGATTTATTTTGTTTCTCACCTCTCCTCCAGGAGCTGCTGAAACAGTCCAGGTGTCTTTTTTCTGCTCAGTGTTCTGGAGGAAATTGTGCAAGGAAGGAGGAATGTTGTGCGACATGTGTTGATTTGATCACTTACAGCAGTTTCACTCATGTACTGTCTGTGTTCACCTGTTTACATTTTCTGTGAAAGATACATCAACCACTGCCCGACTTACGGGGTTCAGCCTGGTGCAGAACTTTTCCCTCATTTGTTCCCTGGTTTAATTCTGTTATTTGTTTGATTTTAATCTCCCCGTGAATCTGATGCACTGAGCCACTGAAGTGGAGAAGCAAAGAAATAAAAAACTGGACTGTTGACTGTTTAACAGAGATTTATTTTTGCACTTTCTCACTGATTCCTGCTGAATCAGCACCAAAGAACACACAGCAAACCCTCTGAGCTTTGCTTCAGGTCATCGTGTTATTCATAATCAGAGCGATCAGTGAGAACAATCTGATGTGTGTTTACTTAAACTCAGTAAAAGGCTTCTCCTCACTTATGTACATCTTTAAAGCAGAGTGCGTATAGCACACGCTGGATGCTGACATTTATCAAACTGTGATGTCTGTTATCAGAGGATCATTCTGATAACACAAACCCCTCCAGTGTGTCTAAGGCCCACTGAGGAGATCAGAAAGGACACAAGGAGAGAGGAGTCAAGGAAACAGTCTCAACAGAACGAGACATCAGCGTCTCAGAGCTTCATTTTAAACTCTGGTAATTAAATAACATTAAATTACAACTAGAATACAAACAGTGCTCCAGAACCATCATATAAATGAGAAATTCTTCAGCATGAATAACTGAGATTGATTTTCAGGTAACAGGCAGGAAGACGGAGGAGACCAGGAGGCACAAATTAGAAAGTCCTCAGTTTTCTCACCCCTGAGCAACAAGAGCCAATCAAACAGAAGCAGGAAACATATTAGCCTTTTTAAGCCTGATAAATAAGCCTATAAATAAAAGGGATGAGTTCTTCAAAGAGTCCTCCTACTTCCAGGCCTCCTTCTGACACACTGCTCTCCTCTACATAAGCAGCCTTTAGAAGTTAAATCTATCAGTTAAAAAACTACAACCAACAGGTGGCAGCACACCACCTTTCTCCTCAGTAATACCCCATGATAACAGCCACAAAAAGGCCAATACTCCACTTTAAGACCTGTTTCTGTTTGCTCAGTTGTTTAAAAAACACAGAGGACCAAATACAGATTTAACAGCCTCCAACTGTTCTTCTGCTACTCCATCACAGAGTGCTCCACCTCCATCAGTCTGTTCTGAATTTTGTTTTAACGTCTTTCAGACCAGAAAACCATCACAGCTGATTGTGGATGCCACTTTAACACGTTGAGCTCAAAACAACAGGATGGATGTGTCCTTGTATATGAGATGAGCATTTGGATCCAGAAAACCAGCATCCAAGTTTCTTTGATTCAGTGGTGCCACGTGATGCTGTGAAGGCTGAATCTGAGCCTGTGGGTGCTGCAAAGCTTCCTTTAATAAGGAATACGATTTTTTTTCTCTGTATGTATTATTGTAGGGTCTACTTTCCAATATAACACACCTTGAGGTGAGTGTTGTTATGATTTGATGCTGTATAAATAAAAAACTGACACATTGAATGTATAAGAGAACACGGCAGGAAGTCTGCTGAGATCTGAAAACAGTCCAGAGGTGGCCGAGGTGATGATCTTGAATGCGAGATGAGCCGAGAAGGTTTCTGATCTTTACATATCCAGTTCAGAACTTTTCACAACTCATATAATAATGGAATATAACCATTATAATAAAGATTTGTATGTGTTTTAAATAAATATTATGGCTACACTATGATCACAAATTAGATTTAAAAGTGCAAAATAAAAGCTTAAAGGAGTTAATAAAGTGCTTAATTAGCTGTGAGACCCTGTTAACTGTGACCCCTATTTTAATGCACTGTCTGAACTGATTTACTCTACGTCTGTGTCCTCCACCTCTCTACTTGCTAAAAACTCCACTACGCTCACCTGCTGTTCTCCACCTGCCGCCTGTTCTCATCGTAAAATCAGGCTCTGCAGAAAGGTGCACAGAATACATTTCAGATCAGCTCTTTAATGTTCATAAGAGTCACTGTGTTTTGATGATTACGGTTTTGAATAAATAAAGCAACACAGACAATAACAAGAAACATCTGCAACAATAACTATAACTAAAAAGTATGTTTCCTTGTCTCTTCTATCCTTGCCTCCTCTGTCCTTGTTATTATCTTCAGTGCATCAGAAGACAAAGCTCCGGTTAGCTCTGAGCTCACAATCCTCCACTGAGAAGAGAGTGAAATTCAAGGTCACATGACTGAAACTGTCATGTGGACCAAAGTTAATTATATGTCATGAATAACAACAAT